ATAACTACATTCTGGTAAAGTTCCTAGCTTACCTCCTCGTGGCAGGCAAAACAGAAAGAAAAAGAAGAAGGAGCAGACATGCTCAGTAGGTTTACAAAAAACCACCGTGACAGTAAGCATGACCTGATAAGGAGTTTTACAAGGCTGCTTATCAACAGTTTGATGGACAATACAGTTTCTCATGATCTTTTGCTAACCCTGTAACAGAGAGAGACCAACAGCCAAATAAAATGTATCACGAGGTACTTTACTATGATGAAGGATCTCAAAAGTGTGGAGCCAAAGTTTCTGCCATCATAAATCTCTGAGCCTTTATGAGCTTCCAATTGCACTTTGAATTGCAATTCAAGTTGTTGCAAGTTTGACTCTGAAATATGCCTGTCTTCTTTTTTTACTTCTTTTTATTTATTAAGGAAATAAATTAATACATCAGAGTGACTGGGGATACTACCTACTACAATAGATAGATAATACTTTCCTCTCTATAGCATCCTGGTCTGAAACTAAACTGAAATAGGTCTGGGTAATAACTAAGTTAAATTAAATAAAGTAAATAGGTAACATCTTCATGTCCAACACTGAAATATGTGTGACTTCCTTTTGACCTTATTCTTGCCTAAGATTTTATTATTATTATCCCTAATGACCTTCTTCTATAAGAAAAATAGATTTAAATTAGATTTTTAAAAAAAACAAATCACCAAAAGCCAAAGTTTTAGTGTGCTCTGAGACATATTGTTTTATTTGGTGCTCAAGCTCCAATGCCCTCATTACTTCATCATCATCTTTTCATGTACTGAATTCTGAAGTTTTGCTCATGATATGATATAATCCAATATTTGGATGAAATTGTCTTCTGAGACCTCTACCCCTTCATCGTTTTTAATATGTCTAACAGATTGGCAACATAGATTAAATCATTGGCTCAAAAGATGAAGAAACTGGATCCCAGTTGACATACACTGTAGATTACAAACTTGGAGTCCATGTCTCATTGAATAGTGGTCTTCATGAAAAAGAAATGGGATTTCAGAGAGTGAATTCAGGAGTCTACTCTCCAAGACCCAGAATTAAGGATTTGGAAAGCTCATAATGGCAATTGCAAACATGAGCATCACCTTATTTTACAAGAAATCTCTTGGAACATTGACTCAAAAATTTGACACACATACAGAGCCGCATAAGATGTAGTTCACTAGCACCATGCTTTATCTCATCCAAAATCAGCTCAAAAGGTTGTGGTAGAACAGCAATAGCAGTTAGACTTATATATTGCTCCATAGTGCTTTACAGCACTCTCTGAGCAGTTTACAAATGTCAGCATATTTCCCATTTAGATTCCCATTTTGCTGACCTCGGAACAATGGAAGGCTGAGTCAATCTGGACTCAGGATCGAACTCCTGGCTGCGGGCAAAGTTAGCCTACAACACTAAATTCTAACCATTGTGCCACCACAGCTCCTAGAGTATATTTAAAAAGTATATTCCTCTGAAAACTGTGATAAAGTGAATAAAAATTGGACCAGGGCTTACACTGATTTGCATATCTGGAGTTTTAGAGGTATCAAAGATATCTATGCTATATAAAGATTTATAAGAAGAAACTCATTTCAACAGCTCATTAAAAATAAATCAGGCATGTGGATGATAAATCTAATTTCTGCACAGATGACAAGCCTTTAAAAGCCCTGTGCTGAACACTCACCAGAAAGCTGTGCCTTTAAATAACTCAAATATATAAATACATTTAACCCTAAATGTGTAGTGGAGCAATGAATCATGTGTGATTGAATGGAGAATTGAAAAATATGATAAAATCTGTTACTGTAGCTTTACAGTGCATAATTATTTCACTGTATCAATGATTTATGTCCTGGTGACTGATGGCCCAAGAACAGGTTCCATATTTCTTATAAACACACACACACACACACACACACACACACCTGCAGATACACAACACAACACACACACACACACCTGTAAAGATTCAGGATGTTTTGTAAGAAAATGAATGGATGGTACCAGATCTAAAAACCAGCATTATTTTTTGGAAATAATTTCCCACCTTCTGAATAGAACACAGAACATAGAATAAGAGAGCTTTTCTGTTCTCTCCATAACAACTTTTTGAGATAAAATAATTTGAAAGATAAACTTTTAATCAAATCTGTTTAGGTAAACTTTCTGCTTGAATCAAACGTCTGAAAACTCATAGTCAGGGGTGGGCTGCTATGAGTCACTCGGTTCGGGAGAACCCATAGCTAACATTATGGCCAGTTTGGAGAACCTCCAAATCCCAACCCTAGCTGACCCTGCTCGCCCGCCCTGCCCCACCCCTCCCCTCCCACCCTGCTTCTCCCATGAGTCTCCACGCACCCCATTTTGGAAGTGAGGTAAGTGCAGGAGCCACATGGAGGCTCAGGGAGCTGAGGAAAGGGTCTCCCGGAAGTTCTGAAAGGCCGGGAGCGGGCTTGTTTCTGGCCTACAGGGGGCCTCTGGAGCCTGGGGAGAGCAGTTTTCACTCTTTCCAGGGGCTCGAGGAAAACCTAGTTTAGTTTAATGAAAAGAAGGACTAAGGGTGACATCATAGCAGTGTTCCAATATCTCAGGAGTTGCCACAAAGAAGAGGGAGTCAAGCGCCTGAAGAAGAAATGGGTAGAAAATCAAGGATAGAAGCAACCTACAACTAAGGAGAAATTTCCTGACAGAANCCTAAATGTAGAACCTTACTCTTTTCACCATTGAATTTCATTTTATTAGATAGTGCCCAAGTAGATTACAATGTTTTTGAAGTAACTAAAGGAATGAAGAAATAATAAATTACATCAATCCTTGACTTGCATGAGGTGTCCAAGAGAAGTTATGTGAATTTCAACTCATGATGAAAATTTACAGCATCATACAAACTTGTTTAAACTGCATCTCTCACAAGAAGGAAATGGCAACCTAGCCTTAAAGTTAATTAAATGTTTTCAGAGATGTCCAACAAATATGTAATACCACATATCGCACAAAATGTTTTGTTCCTTTTATTTTTAAGATCAAAGCTGAATAATTTCACATTCGCTTGAGGTTCCTCAGGGAATTAATTAGTATCACCCTGTGGGAAGTTAGCACTCACTCCTCTCCTAGGAAAATGAAAAATTCTAGGAAGTATTAAAGTATTATATTTCCCTGGATGAGAAATGGAGAAATATGTTTTTTTTAGGCAGGAACAGACTCACTCTTAATGAGGCCCCCACCCTCCACACTAGCCCACAGCAGATGTGAGCATTTAAGCATTTAAGAGATAAAGAGATAGCTAGGTCTATTCATAAGCAAATGCCCTCTTAAGATCCAACAAAGGTAATATTAGCTCTCTACCAGAGGTGGTATTCAGCTGTTTCTCTCCAGTTCAGGTGAACCGGTAACAGTGGCTGCGAGAAACTCCATCCACCCACCCCAACATAATGCACGAACATTGCACATGCGCAGATGCAGTGCATGCGAGTGAAGCGAGCGAGCACTCTCTCACATTTGTAAACTGATAGGGAAGGTAAGTGAATCCCACCATTGCCCTTTACCCATCTAGCAACAGAACTCACCACATGGCACCTGGGGAGATTACGTCACCCAGCAAGATTCAACCAAGCTTGGGACTCAAAACTTTACAAAGTTACCCCTGCACAGTCCCATGGGAGTCTGACAACCAATCAGAATACATTTCGTACATAGGAACAGGAAGCTCCATGGTGGGACCCAAAAGAGTGTATAAATCTTTCTCTCTCCCACCCATGTGCTTTTATTTTGCCCAGGATCTCAAGCCATGTGGTTCTGTCCACCATTAAATCATCTTTCCAGGCAGTCTCCATGTTTCCGTTTTCTTTCTTCCCACTTGGAACTGAACCTAGATGGATATTTCTTCCAACAACCCAATCCCTCTAATGTTTTATAAAAGCCTCATTTTCAGTTCTCCAAAATCTCTAAGGTAATAGCAATAACTTCAGAAATAGCAATAGAAACAGAATAAATGGAACAAATTTGAAATGCTTAATAAAATGTCAAGAAGCACTTTGGCATAAGTCAAATATCATCTTCAAGATATACAACAGTTTTTAAAACTAATTCATCAGTAAAAGGAGGCAACCCAGATTGTTGGGGGCAATATATGATGCCTCTGTAAACCACTTTGAGAGGGCTGTAAAGCACTGTGGATCGTGATATAAGTGTAAGTGCTATTGCTATTTACTTGTTCCAGATAATAGCTGTGTGAAACTTGATTTAAGAAGAAGAAAGAAGAAACAAAATTTATCAGCTACTTTAAAATTCTATCACAGTGGTAGTCAACCTGGTCCCTACCGCCCACTAGTGGCGTTCCAGCTTCCATGGTGGGTGGTAGGGGTTTGCTGTAATTCAGCTTTATAAATTTTATAAAATAAAGTTACTTCCCTACTTTATAAATTACCATTTACTGTGGAACCGGTGGGCGGTTAGAAAATTTTACTACTAATAGAGATACAAAAGTGGGGGGGAGGGGTAGGTATAAAAAGATTGACTACCCCTGTTCTATCATATCTTTTTGTGTGAGTGGGTGAAAACTGTTGCCGATTTTATCTGTATATATTTTGAAGCATTTAGTTCAGGTATTGAAAATAATCTCCAAATAAATGAGATTACCAACGTTTGATGATTCAGTGGGATGAAGAAAGCTGAGAACAGAGATCAATTCTGAAACCTTTATTCCAACCAATAACCACCAAAGTCAAGGGATAAGATAATGGAAAATTACATCTTCACTTTTCAATAATAAATAATAATTTATATACTGTAAGGTAAAGGTAAAGGTTTTCCCTGCACATATGTGCTAGTTGTTCCCAACTCTAGGAGGTGGTGCTTATCTTCGTTTGAAAGCCAAAGATCCAGCGCTCTCCGAAGACGTCTCCGTGGTCATGTGGCCGGCATGACTAAATGCGAACCCTTAAGTGGCAATATTCCAGGAAAGGATCTGGAGCATGCCTGCTCTACTTGACCTTATGAGTGGACAGATAATTATGGATTTTAGGATTTACGGATTATTTGGGCAGCAATGGAGAAAGATTGGCTGGGATCCCAATCCACTCAGGTAAGAAGGCTGCAGAGGGTTTGAAGATCTTGAGAAACGGAGAGTCTGGTAAGGTATAATTGGCTAAATAAACAGCCTCTCCACCTGCTAGGTAGGCAGCCCAGATGCCGAAAGTCCCAATGGTCATGATTGTGTGGTTACAATGAGTAAGGAGAGCAAAATCCCTTCCTGGGGAGGCTTCTTTCCCATCCCCAGCAAAGTAAACATCCCCTCTGGAGGCATTAATGTTCTTCTTGCACCACTCCATCCCATTGCTGGTGACCACAAAGATGGGATTGAGGTACTTCTTTCTGAAGTAGTCCATGGCTTTCTCCAAGTAGCCTTTGTCAGCCACCACACCTTTCCAGGTTTTGGGCATTACCCTCACATAATCCCCTCTACGGACATGCACTCCAACATAAGTCACATTCTGGCGTTCTCCCCGCAAGAGTTGCAGGTAGTGGTTGGCCTCCTCCTTGATGTGGTCATGGAAAGTGAATTGCTTTAGTATTTCCTGGCGGATGTGGTGATAAAAGGTGTAAGAACAAGGGTAGCCCGTCAATTGGACGTATTTCCCTTGGATGTGACGATAGTCTTCTGACATCCAATCATGCAAGTGAACATTCCTCCATTGGATCTTCCTAAACACCTTAGCAGAGATTACAGGCAAAGTGATCTTGAAGACTGGTGATAAAGCCGAATGCATTTCTAGACGGATGCAGGCTTGATATCCATTGAGCTTGGCTAAGGCATAAAGGGTGGCATATTGCCCCATCTGGTTCCCGAGACGCCCTTGGGAGTTCACCGTCCATATTCCAGCCTCAATAGCCTCAGAGGACAAACTAGAATTAGGGATAATGTTTTGGAATAGAATTTGTTCTATCAAGGAATTAATTGTCTTTTTGGTGGATGGGTAGTAGTGAGAGATCTTCCCAGGTAGATGAAAAATTACGGACAAAGCAAAGAACCCCAAAATGTAGAAGAAATATAAGAGGGAGAATTGACCGGAAGTACCTCTTTCTTGATGTTTAATTGTCACAAAAGAGAGAATCCTAAAGAGAAAGTAAATTAAATTCAATACCCAGGTGTGACAGCACACTGACACTCTTGATAATTCAGGTTTACATTTATTTATTCAAAAGTAAGACCTGCTAATGTTGACGGGATTTACTCCTAACAAATATCCATTTGTTCAAATGTAATATTTGCTTAAAACAAAAAGAGAAATGAACTTGCGGAACTATATTATGTTTAAAACAGTTTTAACCTTGTTAGCTTTTCATCCCGGTTTATTGAATAAAGCTCATGCAGATTGCTAGGATCTACATCAGAGATGGGCAACATTTCCAGTTTCAAGAACTGATGACTGGTTCATCCAAACAACAACTTTGATGGTGTCCACAGGGAGAGGTAGGACTAATATTTTTCAGCCCACTTGAGACAATTTCAAGGTATTTAAGGGTGGAAATGGGAAAGAGAAGCTTCTGGAAGGCAAAGTATTTATTGTATTTACAAATCCTTCAACCTACCTTCTTTCAAAAGTTAGAAAGTTGCTAAATTTAACAGTAAAAGATGGTCAAATTTCACCAGCATGTTTTGACACAAGATTGATTAATTTTTTTAAGCTGAAAAAGGGATTGATTTGCCTTTGTCTTCCCTTTTATTCTTATTTTTTTTGAAAGGGGAAAAAGGTCATTTTTTTGTTAAACATTTGTCAGTTGCTGTTGAATTTGGTGTATGTATTCTTGCAATGTGAGGGGTTTGCATATGATATCAACCATAGGTTNTTAAAAGAAAAATAAAAAAGTTCTGTTCAAAAAGAAGAAATGGGTAGAAAATCAAGGATAGAAGCAACCTACAACTAAGGAGAAATTTCCTGACAGAACAATTAATCAGTGGAACAACTTGCCTCCAGAAGTTGTGAATTCTCCAACTCTGGAAGTTTTTAAGAAGAGATTGGACAACCATTTGTCTGAAATGGTATAGGTTTCAGGCCTGAGCAGGAGGTTGAACTAAAGGCCTCCAAGGTCCCTTCCAACTCTGTTATTTTATTCTATACTCAAAGGGGAAATGACTGTACTATGAAAATGCTTCTCCTAACATTCAACTGAAATTTGCAGTCCAAAGACATGTCTATTATTCCAGTGCACCTTGGGACAATAGATGACAAGCTCTTGCCATTTTTATATGATATAGGCAGATATTTGCAGAGAGCTAGTCTATAATTATATAATTTTTCAGGCTTATTTTTGGATAACTTTATTAGATTTTTTAAAAAATAGAACTAATTTGAGCTTGCAAATTATAACTGAAGTGGATGCTTCCTTATCTACTATCCTGCCCTAATACCCAAGTCTATTGGAGCTCTCTCAAATCTGTAGGAAAATCTCTGTCAAATACCAGCTGATGATAAACATCAGTCATACTCTTGAGTCATAAAGAAAAACAAAGCAAACAAAATCAGGATTAAAAAGAAGGCACAAAACAATTCCATTGGTAACCATTAGTTGTACTCAACGATGTTATGATCATATTGCATCAGTTACTAGAAATTTTATATGCTGTCCTCAAGCATGAAAAGTCACCAGAGGCAATTTCTTAAAAACCATAAAGGAACAACCTGGTGCAATAAAATCCATTGTAAAGCAGGCATTCAACAAACCAAGTGAAAAAACTGCTGATCCCTGAAAGCAGTCTTAGATAAAGCATTGAAGAAAGTAACTATTAACTAAACAGGAACTAGATTCTAGATTCTAGATTCTCACAAGCTACATATGAGATTTTACTAGACTGCATGCTCCATTGTTATTTCAGACCATGCACTTCTGTTTTAAGGTTTAGTGTTTCCCAGCCACTACAGATTATTCAACAAATCATTGAGGCAAAACATGATATGTGAGTATTGCTGGGAGACAAATAAGCTACTGTCAGGTCTTGCTCCAAAAGACCTGTTTTGATGGTAGTATCTGAGGGGAGCCTCTTTGATTAATATTTCCAGTAACTAGGAATTTCTAGTAATAATACAATACAATAGCAGAGTTGGAAGGGACCTTGGAGGTCTTCTAGCCAAAAACCCCTGCCTAGGCAGGAAACTCTATACCATTCCAGACAAATGNATCTATCTATCTATCTATCTATCTATCTATCTATCTATCTATCTAGTCTCTCTCTTTCTATCTACTTTCCTACCTACCTACTCCCCCTCTCTCTCTAACTGTAGGACATGTACACAAGCAATAGGGATATATGGTAAAAAAATAATAATAATACAATACACATAAGATGGAGATGTATTGTCATCTTTGTAAGGTATAAACCAATCAGTGCATAGTTTTCTTCTGAATTTTGCAAAATGTTATCTTAGAGACGCTCATTTTATGTCAACCTGGAAGGAAGTGATTCTTTTAAGTGAAATTCTTTTTTCCTTCTTTCCCAGGACTAAACTGAGGGTTTTTTTTGCATGCAACACAGGTGCTATTGCAGAGCTATGGGCTTCTGGGAGCATTAATCCCACACCATAGACTCTGACATTAAAGACAACTCAACAGTGGTGTAGTTAGTAATTTTAGACCGCAGACTTAATGGTCCTGGGGGAGCTTTGCTTTAGCTAGCTATGTTTTAGCTCTCAAGTATATACACAATATTCTCTTCTGCTGCCATTCTATGTTTCTACATTCAATATTGCAGCAAGACTTCATTCCCACAAAATAGAATCAACAGCCCTGATTAATAAATACTCTGAGCATGTACAATTTCACATTTTAAACTCATGAATCACTATTGTGTCTAGAGGCATAAAAAGCTGCTTCTGCTGTCATGTTAAACACATTTACCTGGAAATAGAATTGTTTTGCTTATGCTGAGATGTTTCCTGCTGCCCCAGACAGTCCAGGGGACCAAGTTGTGAGGCTTTCCAAATTGAGCACAGACTGAGCTCTAGAGGCAATTTGGGGTTCTAACTACTATCAGTAGATTATCGATAAAGATAATTCAGGTTTCCTTCTAAAAACTCTCAAAATTCTTGCAAACAGGTGTCATGAAAATGATCAAGTTATATATCTGCATAGCTCATGCAGATATATTTCTTCCAAATATATATGCTGAGTTTGACACATCCAAAATTCACAACATCTTTCTCAACTTTTTCTGATAGATAATGTTCTGACCAGGGGTGGGTTTCAACTGGTTCGCGGCGGTCCCTGCAAACCGGTTGGTCGGCGAACCCGGAAGTAAGTAACTTCTGGGAACGGCGAAGGGCCCA